TCATAGAATGTCTTTCTTCTATAAAGTATGACCAGCCGTACTTGAATTCTTGCTGTTCCTCACATTTGCTAAGAGCTCTCTTGCCTCAGGGCCTCTAGTTTTACTCTGCTCTGTAAGGCTTTTTCCCAGATTTATGCTTGGTCTGTATTTATACTGGTCTCTGCTCAAAGTTACTTCCTCAGAGACCATTCGCTAGCCCTTATCCAATTCGCTCACCATTTCATTCTAACCCATATCCTACTTTTTTATTTCCTTCTCTTAGAGCATTTATCTTATGGATGTATATTGCTTACTTGCTTATTTACTGGCATATTTTACTTAGCATAATGTCTTCCACATTTATCCATGCTGTCACAAATGGCAAGATTTCCTCCTTTTTTAAGGTTGAATTATATTTATGTGTATGTGTATTTGTGCATGTATACATGTGTGTACATATCATTTCTTTATTCATCCATTGATAGACACTTAGGTTGTTTTCACATCTTCACTCTTGTGAGTAATGCAGCAGTGAAGGTAGGAATACAGACATCTCTTCCAGATACTGATTTCATTTCCTTCAGATATATACCCACAGTAGAATTCCTGGATCATGTGGTAGTTCTCTTTTTAATTTTTTAAGAAACCTCCAGGGACCAACTGGTGGCGTGGTAGTTAAGGTGCTAGACTTCCACATGGTTAATCTGGTTTAAGTCCCAAACCTGATGGCTTGAAAATCTTGCCAGACACATGTGTATGCATGCCCAAAATCCCAGGAGGACAATGGAGGAGAAGGGATTGCAGAGTGGCTATCCGCCTTGGGGAGTGATTTCTCACTTTCTGCCTCTCTTCTCCAGCAAGCACATGTGCCCTATGGCAAAAGCCTCAAAAAGAAAGAAAGAAGCCTCCATACTTTTCATATATAACTGTACTAATTTGCATTCCCATGACTAGTTATAAGGGTTGCACTTTCTCCATATTATCACCAACACTTGTTAGCTCTTGTCTTTTTTGATAATAGCCAGCCTTTCAGGTATGAGATGATGTCTCATCGTGGTTTTCATTTGTGTTTCCCTGATAATAACAATAAATCATCTTACTGTAAGCAATTTGCTGAGACAGAAGGCTTTAATCATCCAGTCAGTACCCAAGTTTTTCTTGTCCAAACCATGTGATGGGCTCATTTAGAACTTTTAAGAAGCATGAAATGAAATATTGAATAATGTTAATTAAATTTGAAAAAGATGTGAGAAAAGTGGACTCCTTAGCACAGTAGTTAAGTGCTGTGCATAGAAAACTGGATCCCACATGGCCAACCAGGGTTCAAATCCCAGCCCTGGCAGTTTACAAAACAGACTGGGCAATATGCATGCACACCCAAGATCCTGACAAAATGGAGAAATGAAGGTAAAAGAATTACACTATCACCATGCCTCATTTGGGACTACTTTTCACTCACTCAGTCATTCTGATGATTACATGTACCTTTTAGCAAAACTTAAATAAATAAATAAAGATGATCCCAAGAAGTGAAAAACAATTTGGAGAAGCATTTTAGCAGTGGTCAGCAGTATGATCAAAAGCACAGAGAGAAGAGAATACTGGAACAGGTTTCCTAATTTTGCAGAATAGTAAGAAGGACTTTGGGAGGTAAATTTCATTTCATAGTTTTATTCATTATTACAAATTCCTCCTGCTGATAGTTTGAGTGATGAAGTAAGCAAATCTTTGTAATATGCCGAAAAAGATCATTTTAAGTAAAGATAAAATTAATAGATTATTATAAAATAACTCATGCTATCTCCTTTTTTCTTATCCATCCTATTCCCTCTTTTTTCATTTTAACAGAAGTTCATATAATGCTTGATGGTCTGTTACCTCCTGACACCTATTTTAGATTCAACCCTGTAATGTGTGAAAATATACCTCTAGATGAAAGTCGGAATGAAAAACTGGATCAGCTTCAGTTGGAAGGGCTGAAGTACATAGAAAGAAATGAACAAAAAATGAAAAAAGTTGCAAAAATATTAAGTCAAGAGAAAACAACTCTGCAGAAAATTAATGATTGGATCAAATTAAAGACAGACATGTATGAGGGCCTTCCATTCTTTTCAAAATTGTGACAAGCATATGCATGTGTTCTCATAAATGGAGGCCTGTTCAGAAGAGCCATCAAATTCCATAAGAAATTGTGGGGCTCAACATGAGTTAACTTTGAAATATTGGATCATCTGAAAAGTCAGTACTTACGAATTCTTGGGAATCCCAAAAAAGACGGTGCTTCAGCCAGATTGCACAGCAAAGAGGATATGCTTGGCTTCAGAATTCATGTGAGAATTAGGTTTATAAGATGTTAATAATTAACTATGCTTTAGGAATCTTATTGTGCTAGTTGGTTTTAGTAGATATTGGTGTTATATTGTTTGATGTTTGAAAATGTATTAATATATGTGCCAAACAAGAAACTGAAAACTATCATATTATGCTTTGTCTTTTCACTTTAGTCATCATAATCATGTTGAATTTATGTGATCATTGATTTCCTTTCATGTGGAAAAGCTCATTTTTCCTTAAACTTACATTACTTATATTTTCACTAGCTACTTCCTATACTCCACATGCTGCCTTTTACTGGAATATTCTCTAATTGATGCAGAAAAATGGAATTTTGTCTATTAAAGTACTTTTACATTTAAAATATGAAAGAACCAGGTACAGTTTTTTATTCAAAATTTGCTTATTTCTACACATTGTTTAGTTAAAACAGGTAGGTCAAGTTCCAATCAAATGCTTTTTTCCCCTGAAATTTTAAGATAATGTTGTGTGTTAACTTTTCTAGATCTAGTTCTAAGCTCATCATTCACTGTTATAAAATTAATTGTTTGAATTTACTGGCAAAATATTCCTGTTAATAAACATAAACTGTTGAAGTAATCCGTTGTTGAAAGGCTAATGTCATTTTAAAATTATTTATTGTTCATAATGTAGTTCCCTCTTTCTTGTAGCATTTGAATACACCTGTCAACTGTGTGCTTAATAAATAAATCAGATTTGTTTTACCTTATTAAGTCCTAAATTTAATCGTCTGGATTTTCCAGACGTTATTAACATACACACCTACACGAAACACTGTTTATATCACACAGATTCATCTTTGTTGTGTTCTCTCTTTGCCATGTAAATCCTCTGTCATTGTAGGTTTCCCAAGGGAAGTGAAACAAAGGTAAGTGTCCTTTGCTTTCTACAAATAAACTAAAGCAAAACTCTGTTGTCCATATTGTTATTATATTGCTTGCTGATTTGCAACTTGATTCACAGAGGGAGTGAGATGTAATTTAGAGAGTGATGGAGGGGATGGAGAGTCTGGATGCTAATCTTGAGTCTGCAGCAAAGTCGTTCTGTTTGGGACCTTTTGAAGGCAGACAGCCTCTCTGAGCTTTACATATTTGTAAAATGAGGAAGGCTAGTTCTGAAATTTTGTAATATCCAAATTAGGTCGTTTTTAGACCTAATGTAGGTAAATAAACTAGCCATGAGTTCTGAAGAAATATAAAACACTTTTAGACCACAAGTTTGTATGCATTTGTTATATGCAATTAGAACAACCAACTAGAACAACCAGTAGGGGGCTTTAAAGCACAGAGGTTTAGTGTTGTGCTAGAGATCTGGATCTCACAAGGCCGGCTGTGGTTTGAACTGGTCCCAATGGCTTGAAAACACCATGTACATGTGCAGGGTGCAGGGAAAAGGATTGCAGTGGCACTGCACCCCATTTTGAGAGTGCATTCTTCTCTCTGGGGAGCACCCACTCTCTGCTAATTAATAAAGAAGAGAAAAAGAATAAAACAACTTGTCCTTTTAAGAAAAGATCAAATAGGGGCCGGCAGGTGGCGTGGTGGTTAAGGACACTGGACTCCCACATGGCCGACCACAGTTCAAGTTCTGGACCTGGAGGCTTGCTCTCTCACTTTCCCACTCTCTCCTTCTGTCTTGCTCTGTCCCTTTCTGGTTAAAATAAAAAAATTTTAAAAAAATGAAGTAAATGAATGTATAAATAAAAAAAAAGAAAAGATCAAATAATTGGAAATTAGAATATTTCTGGGAACTCTGCATAATAAAATACACAATTTATATATCTGCCCCTTGTCCTAATCTGATAAACTTCGTCTACTTCACTGTGGAAGTTAATTCTGTCCCTTGTTTGTGCATGACCAGTCCTTTCTCTCATGAACAGTACAATACGTAAGTACACTCTAGCTCAGTGTCTTTCAGAGACCACACAGTTAAGTATATGTCAGTGTCGCTGTCTCTGTTTCCACAGCTCTTTTCACTCTTCAGCAACAGGTCTGTCCACTTGTGCGGTATACCAGTTTTCAGTCCTTCTTGTTCCTATTTGTACTTGGCAACAGTTATTTGAAGAACTGTGTAAGTCACCTGAGATAACCCTCATTTTATAAGGAGGCTAGTGCTTTTTTCATCCCAAGCAGCCCTCAACGTAAATACTGTAAATGGATGGATGAAGGACAGGAAGAGATGTGAAAATACATTTTGAGTCCCGTACAGATGAAAAGATCTGCCCTTTTCAGAGAAGGGAAAAAGAATAGTCTGTTTTATAAAATGTAATGCATTCTGCAACTTACCAATTATATTTTTAAATACATAGAATAAAAATTGTTTTGATGCTCAGTCCTTGCTGTGCCTCGTCTTAGCTCCATAATAAATAGTGTACTAGCTGTGTTCCATTTGTGCTGTAGATAATATTCTTTATTAAAAATAGGACCTCAGATGGAGTCGTCCCTAGAGGTGCATGGGTGGATGGGATTTCCCCCAGGGGGTGGAGAGAGCTCCTTGGCCTTGGCTATAATTATGCTGTGCACTTCACCTCCCACAGAAAGTGGATGTTAAAGAAACCTCCAGAGGGAAGGAAGTCACAAAAGGCCAGCCTGCAGTCCAAGAGGATGGAGGGGAATCCTATAACTTTGTTATGGTGATCGGAGGGAGGGGCTCTCTGAGCTTTTCCTCCCCAGAAGCTAGTGACAACCACCTTTTTTTTTTTTTTTTCATTTATTATAGAGCAACTAATCGTTGTAGTAGCTAGAACCCTGAAGTTTGAAGCTCAGGATCTTACCTAACCTGTTACGCCCTTCAAGAAGTTGTAGTCAAAATTTGGAATATTTCATAGGAATCAGTGCCAAGAATGTGACTAAAAACATAGCTAACACCAGAGTGCTTATGAGGGCAAAGACATGGGCTAAGGTTATGTATACCAGCACACTTAATTGTCCCAGTAAACCCAAGAGGCGAACATTATTATCCTTGTCTTAGAAAAAATTGACCAAGAAACCACAGCTAGAATGTGGTAGAGCTATAACCAATTCATGCTTTTAGCCACAAATCTTGAGTCTCTTTTTCTTAGATTGTCTTTTCCTAGAATGTTGTAAAGTGACTTCAGATCTAGTTTACTAAACTCAATCTGTGAAACACTGGGTTTAAAGGCTATAGAAATGTACTCTACTTAGTAAATATTGTCTGTCTTTGTGATCTGATTTTTTAAATTATTTCAACACCAAATTATGTGAATAATTTGTTTAACACGGTGGTTTTCTACCTCGGGAGGCAAGGGGAGACTGTCTGGGGCAACTACCAGTATGTAGTACTCCAGAGGTCAGAGAGGGTAAATGTCATGCAGTGTAGACAGGGCTCTGGACGTCCTATCATGATGAAGAAACTCTTCCATCCAAATACCAACATTACTTTGTTTGATAAACTCTGAGCTTCTTATCCCCAGAAAACAAGTAATGAATTTCTTCCACCAGATTCCAAAGGTGTTCTTAGCCCCAGAATTCCAGTGTGTAAGCCATTTGTATAACTCCATTCCCATTCAATCCCAACAGGAATTCATTTTGCATTCATTGCTCCTTGTTCTTCCTTTTGATGCCAAGTTGAAATACAACTGAACTATTCACTTAAATCTTGCTTTTTTTGAGTGAATATATGGCAGTTACTCTTTATGACTAGGAAATAGGAAGGAGGGGGATCACATTTTAAAAAAAAAACAGTTTGTTCTGTTCCTGGCAGGAGCTATCTGCCATGCAAAAAAGATCCATAGAGTACAGATGTCCCTGGACAAAACTTCGCATGTGTTGGTCCAAGGGTTTTTATAATGTCGCTCTCAGAAGTCACACTGATTACTTTGTCCATTATACTCTATTCAACTGATGCAAGTGGGTTGGAACTCATCACACAACACAGATAGGCATTATTACTTGAGGTAATTTGTTTAAAAATGAAGTTTTGACTGTAATGTTGACTTACTTTTGTGATAAAAATCTTCAACTTAATAGATTCATTCCTTGCCTCTAGACTATTTAGATTGTAAAGTGTAATTTAAAGATTTCAGTCCGATTAGATATGAACAAGATACATAGTCCAAAGTGGTTGAAAGTTCCTGTAACAGTTAAAGCTAACATTGCCTTTTAATCTTAACCACATGAAATAGATGCTATCACAATTCCTGTTTTACATGGTAGCACTGAGATGAGGATGATAGTGAGATAAGTCATATTTCTTCACTGCTTTTTCAGAATCAGTGGGAAATTACAGACTCTGGTATAGACCATACCGTGATAGTAGTCTTTCCTAAATTAAGTCTCTAGAGTTGCAAATACTGTAATACTCTCTCAGATACTGTATTTTGTTATTTTTTAAAGAATTATTTAATTTATTTATTCATTTTATTTTAATTTGACCAGAAAGAGACACGGGGAGTGGTGGCGGGGGTAGAGTGAGAAAGTAAGCTGCCAGTTCCGGGACTTTAACTGTGGTCAGCCATATGGGAGTGTCCAGCACCTTAGCAACCATGCCACCTGTTGGTCCTGTATTTTAATCTACCTCACCATTAACTTATCTGATTTGTGGTATTTAGACAATTTTCGAAGATCAAGATAAATGTACCTATCTTAGAGAAGAGTAAAATAGCAAAAATTGCTACTTAGTAGCACTCTTTATAATAGCATATAATAGTACTAAGCGTACTATATTTATAAAAGAAGTAATTAACATTTCAAAAATTCACCCAATTATGTGAAGAAACCCAGGCTGTATTTCTTTTGTGGCTTGTATTCATGATTGAGTGGATTCTCCCAAGAGAAATAGAGAAGCACCCTCTACAGGGCTTGGTCACACTGCAGTCTCCTTCCTCAGTCCTTGGCCTGCCAGGATTCTGGGTATGCATGCCCATGCCTGGCATGTTTTCAGGTCAACCAGGTCAGGATTCAAACTGCAGTTGGCATATGACTTCCAGATCCTTGGTTTAGTATGTTCCTATTCACTGCACTATAGAGGCTGGGCCTATATCTTATGTTCATTATATTCTGTTGTATGTTCACTATATTCTGTTGTATTCCCAAAACACTTTGGTCCAAAAAAGTATTTAATGGCCAATGTAGCATTTTTATTAAATTGGCCATTAAAATAATTTATGAAGAACATGCATACAAGTAAAAATAACCAATACCTTGACCAAACAGATCCAAATGTTTTTAAAATATCACCAAATGTTTTATGTGAACATAGGTGTCCTTGGGATTCACCTACATAAATTTGCACAAGTATCTTTCATTGTTTTGACAATAGGATCACATTTTTCTAAAATGTGTTCTAAGATAACACACATAGTTGTGCTTTTGTGTTTATGGTAGCATATTTGAACACACTAAGGAATTTTTAATCAAATCTCTCACATTGAAAAAGTTCAACAGAACTAATGTAATTTGCACTTCTCTCTGCCTTTCAGATTCGGTTTTAAAAGTGTGTTTTAATAAAGCCAGTAGAATTAAGAGTCATTTAATACTCAACTTTTTTGTATTTCTTAATCATTGAAACCATGTTCTTGTAATTCACAGGTGCTGTTATTCTGCTCATTTTGAATGAAC